GGATCGGTCGGATCGTGAAGATGTACGACTACATCAACCGCGTTGTCATAACGCTTCCGCTTACGATCTACGAGGGTACGTGGACAACACTCTTCCCCTCTCGTTGCTATGCATCACCATGATAGATCTTGCGTGTGCGTTGGAAATTTTTTGAAATTACTGCGTTCCCCAACACTATAGTCCTGGAAGAGATCTTTCATAGTCCAGAAAGAAGATCACCAGTACTTGGACACATGGGTTTACAGGAGATGATTTCTGTGTGCGCCTGGTATATTTTGTGGGAGTATCAGGAGGCAGTTAAAGGAAAGAATGTTAAATCACCGAAGAGTTCAGCTTTTGCAAGTCAGTCTATTGCAACGAACCATGCACCCCGCTTGTCTAAAACTACAGTGGAAGATACATGGCAGAAACCACCACTGGGTTCATATAAACTGAACACTGACGCTTGTTTCTTTGGAAATGGAACCGGTGCAGTAGCTGCTATCTTGAGGAATTGCCGGGGAGAAGCAGCTGCGGGAGTATCATGCTTGATTTACCGGGTTATTAGGGTATGTACAATGGTGCTATCTTAGGAGTGTCACATAGAATAAATGCTAATGTGGAGGAGAGAGAATTCATAAGAAAAGACTACTTGTCTTCTCTTACTTAGGGCATCTCTGATGGTCGTGTGATAATCGTTGGTAAATCTGCCATGTAGACTCTTCTGATGAGGTGGCCTAAAATAAAAGAAGAGAGAGAGTGGAATTGTATGATCCTGAACCAATGTTCTGGACACAAGCTCCGAGGTAATATCATTCATTTATGTGGGCCCTGGCTGGACCTTGTGTGAGTTGCGCCAGCTACCTTCTCCAATTCCCTTCTCTCGGGTGTTGGCCATCAATTTTTTTACATTGATTTAATGTGCGTGGCCCATCAGACTAACATACGCTTCATTGGAGAATTTGTATGATACACTGTTGGCTGCTGACGTGGAGCTTGTACCAACGAATCTATCATACAGACTATTGCAGATGCTCTTAGGAGATGATCTCTTAGCATAATATGTCTCACCATGTTTTTAGGAATAGCTACTTATTAGAGATAACGCTAAGATATAACCTATTATAGATTTTTTTTGTCATATCTAAATTACATGCAAGACTTAAGATAGAACTGTCTTATCAACCACTGTACATGCTCTTAATGCATATTTAGCTGAATCGTTGGCACTGTTACAAGGTCTGAAACTGCTTTCAAAACTCTGTTGTGCCAAGATTATAGTGAAATCTGATTGTCTTGAACAAGTCAAAGCTTGTAATGGTAAGATAGATATGCTGGGACCTAACGCAGCAATTCTTGCTGACTATTCAAATCTTGCTATGGAGATACCAAAGATTGAATTTGAGCATTGTTGAAAGGAAGCAAATAGTTTGGCACATTTTCTGGCTAGGAATACGTACGATTCAAAGACTAGCTATGATTGGATAGATGATGTTCCTAGCCTTTCATTATCTCATGTTATTCATGATGTAACTCTGCCACAAATTAAACAAATTGCCAAGAACTGTATTTTCACTATAAGGTCAGCTTATTATGAAGAGTGGCAACACTAGTATGGACGAAAGTTGAGAATGACAAACTCAGTTCAATCGTCAAGTATTAGTCCTATTTGGAGAACCATTTGAAAATTATGTGTGCCGGCCAAGATAAAAATTCATGTGTGGAGAGCTTTACTTGGAGCTATCCCTTGCCTCGGAGTTCTAGCTAACAGACATATGATTACTAGCTCGCAGTGTCCTCTCTCTACTTTTGATTGTGAAAGTATCAAGCATGCCCTCTTCTTATGCCCTAGGGTTCAGGAAGTGTGTCGCATTCTGCGGTTGGGACATATGGTAACTGAAGTGTGTGCTGATGCAGAATGTGAAGGAGTTCTAGCTAACAGACATATGATTATTTTTGTCCAGGAGCAGTTTGCAGCCTTCGATGTCAGGGGTCCAACGTAATGAACTAGTAGCCACTACTGTGTGGTGCGTTTGGTGGGAACGACGTCGCTACGTTCATGAGGATCTCCTACGGCCAGTCAGATCGGCATAGGCCATTGCTGCATTAGTAAAGAATTTCACGAGAGCAAGAGAAAAGAAGGCGAGGATTAGGAGACATGGTTGGGAGAAGCCATTTGAAGGCACTGTGAAACTTAATATAGACGTTGGTTTTGATCTGGAGAGTGGTTCCGGGAGTACATGGAGCAATATTATGTGATAACATGGGATTTTCCATGGCTGCTTCACGTGTTGATATTCCCTTTGTGGAGGACACGGCGACTGCGGAAGCAAGGGACCTGAGAGATGGGTTGCTGCTAGCAAATGATCTGGGATGCAACAAATTATACGTCGAAGCGGACTGCATGGAGGTGATTGAGGTTATGCACAATGGCGGGAACTCCCTGGGACCGGCGGCGGCCATCTATGAAGAGTGCTCTTTCTTAGCTTGTAATTTCAGTTTTATAGTATTTAATCATTGTCCTAGGGAGGCCAATATGGCGGCAGATGTATTGGCTAGGAACTCGGAGACATCTCGAACTATTGTTTGGAAGTCTGAGCCTCCAGGATTTCTAGTCAACGTTTTATCGAACGATGTATCCTTATTTTCACATGAAATATAAACCGCCATGATAGTTTTCCCTAAAAAAATGCCAAGAACATAGGAATACATCTCTTTCTTACAAGCGCCTCTGCAATTCCAAAATAACACCCCCTCTCCTGATTCTTTTCCCAAATAACACCTATAACGTAAAACGGTCACTTGGTCAGGTGGTTTTGTCGAACCGAAAATGGTAAACCTATGAAAGCCCCTACGCAGTGTTACAGAAACT